AGCCCTGCTACGCCTCAATGCACTAGCTGTCCATAACCCGAGGAAAGTCCATAGACTTCACAGTGACTTAACAAAAAACACCGTTTAGGAGCTCGGGACACCTTGTACCCCACACCTCAAAGAGACAACCCTCCTGAATGCCACATGCTTGAAGCGCAAACCCAGCAAGAAGAAGAAGAAGAAGAAGAAGAAGAAGAAGAAGAAGAAGACTTGGGCTTGAACCTCTTCAGGGATATTTAGGATGGATGAAAAGGCTTCAAAACCCAAAGGAAGGTGACCGCGCCTAGCAGCCACAGAAGGAAGTATCCTAGAGCTGCTCGCCGGCCGAAGTCCTCCCAAGGGCTTAAGCAGGGTTTAGGGTTTAGGGTTTAGGGTTTAGGGTTTAGGGTTTAGGGTTTAGGGTTTAGGGTTTAGGGTTTAGGAGGGTTAAGCTTCAGGGTTTAGGGTTTAGGGTTTAGGGATTAGAGATTGGGCTTGCAGCAGGGTATGAAGAGCTAGGCTTTGGCGGAACTCGCCTTCTCAGGCAGCTGTCGCAAAGCAGGCAAGAAATCACGATTGGCTGGTTTTGAAAAGGGAAGTGAGGGATCGCTTGACAGATTGAGTACCCGAGCCCAATCACCCTGGTAAGGATATCCCTTAACTCAGATGGACCCCTTTTCTAAGGAACATCCCGAAGAAGTTGGCTCTCTCCGTACAGTTTCGATTCACGTGCACGCTAGAGTGCAAAAGTTTAGGGTTCACGTTTACGTCGCAGGGTCACTGGCATACGTGCGATTTCTTCTTCCACTTTAGGGGCAACTTTTGGGTAGGGTCAAGAGCGAGGGTTATATAACGGTTCACAGCTCAGGGCGGCTTATTTTCAATGCTCACGCCGGGGCGTGTCTGGATGCTCTCTCTTGGTCACCGTGTGCCACCGCAAAGTCGGGAGCCATCCGCGGCTTCCACCGACTTCGGGAGCTCAGGACTGCTCAAGCAGACCCTTTTTGCATCTGGAGCTGAAGGGGGCATCCCACGCAAACCCTGAACCCGGCAGTTCTTCTTTGTCTAACGATTCTAACGCTTGCGACTTGGACAAAAATCCTAAAGCAGATGCTCCAGGTCGAAAGCTCAGCTCCAGGTGAAGACAGCGCAATCACACAATGGCAAAAGATTGTGTGCATGAACTGCTGCTGTGCGACAAGGCACCCTGTTCAACTAAACACGTTGGGTCCTGCGAACTGACCTTAAGCAGACCGCAGGGGAACACTCAAGCAAAACTTGTGTCGAGGGCATGGATGGACGACCAGCAGGGCATCACATTCGACACGCCCTCTTCAGCTTCCCGATCCCACAGGATGGGTACCACGCCGGTCTGCTGGTTCTTAATTGGGGGTGAGGGAATGAACCCATATTCTCGGGCCCTAATTCCCTCATTCCCTACTGAGAACCAGGGGGCTGTGCTTACAAAGTCCACGCTTCTGCGCGACTGCGGGCAGTCACGACACACCTCGGAACCCCAAACCGACTTTTTCGGACGTGGGGATGAAGCCGCCGGAGCCGGGGACCAGGCTGAACTACCCTAAACCCGAAACCCTAAGCCCGAAACCCTAAACCCTAAACCCTAAACCCTAAACCCTAAAGCCTAAAGCCTAAAGCCTAAAGCCTAAAGCCTTAAGGTCTAAGGCCTAAAGCCCTAGGCTCGGCATGTGGGGATGGGGGCTGGGATAGACGACCGGTGCTCTCCGGGCATGTCCTCCAAACTGAAGCGGCTCACGCGGAATCAGGCGAGACCGATTCCGGGATGATCTTGAAACACCATGGGCGGTTCCAAAAATCTAGGGTCATGCCCCGGTTGGGCATGGTTCCTACCATCAGGATCATGATGAGGATGCTACTTGGAGGGTCGAGTAACAGTATAACTCAATCAGTTTGTCCTATAAGTACCCTGCGAACCCGGAAATTACTCCCACCTCCAAGTATCGGTACATGATACCGGGTGCCCTGATGTTTGGACGACCCATGCCTGAAAAATGAAACCTTGGCACGTGGGCTGAGAAACCGGCCTGCATGAATTGCTTGTCAGAAGGCGAGCGCAGCCGGCACCAATGCATGCACATACACACACATACACACACATACTCTCACACACAAGGCCTTGCATGACAAGCAGCTCAGTCGGCTCGGCGCTTTCGGACCATGCCACTGAAGGCCAGTGGCGCTATGTCGACGTTGTGCATGAAGCGGTTCAGTTTCTGCACGTGACGCTCATGAAGGCGACGATCCGGCGGGATAACGGTTCCAGGTGGTAGGTCCTGATGCCATGAAGCACTTTGCCAAGAGGAGTCCAAGGTGCCCATCGCGCCAGTTAGGGAGCTGTTGTTGCTTGTGTCGGTGCTTACCACCCGTTCGAATGCTCCATCCGGAAAGGTAATGAACGCCTCAAAATCGTCCTCACCCTCGATCAGAGGACGGCTCACCACCTTCTGCGTCACGCATAGATTTCCCTCCCTGAGCGGCTCCTCCGGAAAATCCGGCAACTCCGGCTTCAGAAAAGACATGTGGATGAAGTGGCCTCCTGCGCAGGGGGGCTCATGCTCCTCTGCGATTGGTACGGGAGGTCTCCGGCTGCACTGCTCACGCAAATTGGGGCCAGCCACGTTTGCCATGGCATCCAAGACGGAAGGCTCCGAAAAAAAGCAACGGACTAATCGTTGGCGGGTTGAACGAGCGTTCAATGTGTTCAGCATGTTCAGCATGTTCAGCATGTGCCTGTATTCCTAAGGAAGCTTCAAACGTTGTCCCTCGCTGCGAGCCTGGCATCAAACGTACGGTCGCCTCTGTTTCACTGGGGCTGTTCGGGACCCCCAGGCTCGTCAATATCTAAACCGACGTCTACAGTGGAGTTGCGCTACTCATCTCACAGTCTACTCTCTCCCTAAAACCTCATGAGAGCCTGTGCAAGCATGCCCTACAAGCGCAGAAAGCGCGAGGCTCTCAACCCCGCTGCCCTGAAGCCCTAGGGCCCTAGATCCCACTGATCTTGGGACATTATGCGGTTGTTCCCACAAAGACTACTAGGCGTGAAACTTCGGCAAGTCGCCTGTATGGGTTTCGGCGCGTGTTCTTGAGGATCAGTTGTGTCTGGTCTTGTTGGTATAACCCTTTTAGAATCCTTGACAACTGCAATCCGCCAGAATACTGGGGATCGCTTGGAAGATAGAATACCGAGAGCCCAATGGATGGATGGCGGCTGAGGTGTGACAGCCATGGGAAAGGCGTCATCCCTCCTTCTCAGCCCCTCCGCAGGTCGTCGTGGATCCAGTTGGAGGAAAGGTCCGTCGCCCCAGAGAAAGACGTCCGGCAAGGCTGTTCAAGCGCACCTGTACCTCCCGCGCCCCCTCTCCGAAGAGATATCATCCGCTCAGGGCAGGGGTCTGTTCAGCGAGCGGGTCCTGGGTCCGTGTGGCGCAGGCAATCCCAACCATAGACCAGAACACCCCCACCTGGCATCCCCATCCTTCACATCCTCACGTGGGTCCAGGCCATACCTAGCGACGCCAACACCCGTCGTGGCCACATCCGCAGTCGCCGGAAGGACTGGCCCCAAGCAGGAAGACTTTCTGGCCGAGCCGGGGGTACAGCCGGAATAATCCATCCTAATATGATTTCAGGGATGTTCCTCAGTTCCAGGACTGTGCGTACATGCGCTGCCAGAGCATCCGTGCCGGCTCTCGCCTGCAACGCGTACTGAAAGGGTCGAGTCGCCTCATCGAACACGTGTGCACACGTTTTGGCCAGGGCCCGCGAAACAAGGCGGCGGAAAACGTCGCCTGTGGCGATGCCACGTACACCGCCATCCGGTTTGCGAAGCGCTGTGAGGCGAGCCAAGGCGAGACCCGATACGATGTCTTCTGGCACATCCGCATTAGCCAGTTCGGTCTCTCCGTACAGTTTCGATTCACTCGCATGCTAGGGTTTGAAGGGTTTAGGGTTCATGTTCGAGGCTCAGGGTCATTGGCATAGAGCACGCTTAGGGCGATTTCTTCTTTGCCGTCAGGGCACGGCAAGGGCTAACGATTCACAGCTCAGGGCGGCTCGGGGCGAAGGACCATTTTCAATGCTCACACCGGGCGTGTCTGGATGCTCTCTCTCGGCCACCGTAAGCCACCGCAAAATCGGAGCCATCCGCGACTTCCGCCGACTTCAGGAGCTCAGGACTGCCCAAGCAGACCCTTTTTGCATCTGGAGCTGAAGGGGGCATCCCACGCAAACCCTGAACCCGGCAGTTCTGTTTTTTCTAACGCTTCCGACTTGGACAAAAAGCCCTAGATACTCCAGGTCGAAAGCTCAGCTCCAGGTGAAGACGGCACAACGGCACAATAGCGAAAGATTGTGCACACGAACTGCTGCTGTACGGTAAGGCACCCTGTTCAACTAAACGTTGGGTCCTGCGAACTGACCTTAAGCAGACCGCAGGGGAACATGAAGCAAAAATTTGTGTCGAGCGCATGGATGGTACGACGACTGTGTTTGCAAAGTCTACGCTTCCGCGAGACTGCGCACAGTCACGAAAAACCTCTGAACCCCAAACCGACTACGTCGGATGTGGGATGAAGCCGCTGGAGCCAGGACCAAGCTGATCTGGCCGTGGGATGTGGGGATGGGGGCTTGGATAGAACGGCCGATGCTCTACGGACATGCGGTCCTCCAAACTGAAGCGGCTCACGCGGAATCAGGCGACAGATTCCGAGATGATCTTGAAACATCATGGGTGGTTGCAAAATCTAGGATGCCGGTTGGGCGGGAAATTTACCCTACTTGCATAACTACCCTAGTTCGAACCCTGTGTAGAAGTACTCCAGCCTCACATGATATCAAATGCCCCCATGTTTTGGACGGCCCATGCCTAAAAAAAGAACCCTTGGCAGGTGGCTGAGAAACCGGCCTGCATGCATTGCCTTGGCAAGAGCGCAGCCAGTACCAATGCACGTACACACACAGAGCTTAGTATGACAAGCAGCTCACTCTGCTCGGCGCTTTCGCACCATGCCACTGAAGGCCAGTGGCGCAATATCGACGTTGTGCATGAAGCGGTTCAGTTTCTGCACGTGACGCTCATGAAGGCGACGATCCGGCGGGATAACGGTTCCAGGTGGTAGATCATGATGCCATGAAGCACTTTCCCAAGAGGATTCCACGGTGTCCATCGCTCCAGTTAGGGAGCTGCTGTTGCTTGTACTGGTGCTTGTCACCCGTTCGAATGCTCCATCCGGAAAGGTAATTAGCGCCTCAAAATCGTCCTCACCCTCGATCAGCGGACGGCTCACCACCTTCTGCGTCACGCAAAGAATTCCCTCCCTGAGCGGCTCCTCCGGAAAATCCGGCAACTCCGGCTTCAGAAAAGACATGTTGATGAAGTGGCCTCCTGCGCAGAAGGGCTCATGCTCCTCTGCGATTGGTACGGGAGGTCTCCTGCTGCACTGCTCGCGCAAATTGGGGCCAGCCACGTTTGCCATGGCATCCAAGACGGAAGGCTCCGAAAAAGAAAGGAACGGACGAATCGATGTTCAATGTGCTCAGCATGTTCAGCATGTGCCTGTATTCCTAAGGAAGCTTCAAACTTCGTCCCCCACTGCGAGCCTGGGATCACAAATCCTGCTTCGGTGGGGCTGCTAGGGACGCGCAGGAGGGTCGTAGACTTTATGCCGCTACTGTCGTAGATTCGTTCTGGCAAGGGTTGACCCAAACGGGCCAACGATTCGTATCAAACCTCCACATCTCTCACCGACTGGGCCCCAACATCTCAAAGCCCTCAAAACCCGCGCTTCTGCTGGGACCTTCAAACAAAGCACGAGGACCGAGCGAAGCCCAACCCAGAACTTCAAGCAGCTCTCAACCCCACTGCCCTGAAGCCCAAGATCTCACTGATTCCTTGGGCCCTTTCCAGGTCCTGTGCTGCCCAGCCTAGGTGATTCTGCTGGGCGTTTAGGCCGCAGAGCGCCATTGCCTGAACACGCCCGTGAAGGTGGGCTTCTGGTTTAGGGTTTTTATTCCCCTTGGGGTTTTGCCACCCGCACTGCATGCACATCCAGCGCCCCCCTTGGGGTTTAGGGTCTAGGGTTTAGGGTTTAGGGTTGTTTTGTCACCCGCCTAGCCAGGGTGTAGGGTTCAAGGTTTAGGGCAATGGTCGGGTTTGATGGGCTTGGGCCTGCCAGAGGACAGGCTGCAATTCTTCAGGGGGAGCTGTGAAATTAGGGCATGTAGGGTCCAAAGGGCTCTGCATATGGGCAGACACCAACCCCAACATACTATAGAAACCGAAAGAATCCTATGTACCATGCAGCTTCACAAAATCCACTGGGGCCGTGCTGCGTTCTCCTCTGTCTCGCCAAAGCCTGCGCGCATCAGCTGCCCACTGAGCGTGGAGCCCCAGTAGATCCAGGCAGTCCTCGTGACTCACGCGACAAGGAGGCTCTCAAGGCGATGGTAGGGATGGCTTTTCGCCTCTTGACTCTCGGGAGCGGAAGGCCCTTGTATAGGTTTGGAGAATCTTGACGTTGGGTGGAACTTTTGTGCTGCTCTCAATTTTGTTTCAGGCTTCTCTTCCATGCTCCTGCGTGCCCGAATGCGACGGGCGCCCAGACTCAGCCCCGAAATGCCAACAGAGCCTCCAGCGCCTCCAAGACGCCACTCGAAAGATGCTGCAACCTTCTCTGCTAGGCTAGCTTTGGCCCGAGCTGCCCAGCACACATGATCAGGCTGTACACGGCCAGGAATAAGTGCCACCTAGGCTGGGGCCACAAGGTGCCCCAATCCACGGCTACCGATTCGAGCTTTTGCGAGATTCCACGCTCGGGCTCAGGAAGGGTTCAGGAACCAACTGTAGGACCGTAGGGTGACAAAGAGTGGTAGGGCCCCGAAGCTCCCCGGCTGAGCTGCTGATGGAAGAGTGGCAGCCCAACGCCCACCAGAAACTTCTTGTGAAGATCCACCTCACAAGTCGGGAGCTGTCGAAGCTTGGGCCAACCTACCGTGCACGGCCTCCGTTTGGGGTCCTGTGTGTAGTCCCCCTGCACACTGCCCTTCCTGACCCTCATGGGATTGTGGGTTTCAGGGTTTCGGTGTTTCAGGTGCCTTGGGGTCTTTTTGGTACTCTAAGGATCCCCCAAGGCCCTCGGGAGCAGGGTGGGCCCAGGCGCGCCGAAGTGGACGTTCTTGAAGCGCCCCAGAAGCGTTGTGGACGTAAACTCCTGGAAGGCAACATGGGTTTAGGGTTTAAGGTTTAGGGTTTTTTTTTCGCTCCGTTTAGGGTTTAGGGTTTAGGGTTTAGGGTTTAGGGTTTAGGGTTTAGGGTTTAGGGTTTCGGGTTCAGGGTTCAGGGTTTAGGGTTTAGGGTGGGCGAAGCTTGGCGGAGTCTGGCCTATGGGTACTAGGGAACCCAGGTGCGTTTCATGCATCCCCCAATCATCAAGCAGCTCGCCCTCACAATCACAGTCCCCTTGTACGAATCCACCCATCGCTGAGGAACCCAAACGGATTGACGCCCCGCCCAAACCCCCGCAGCCTGCACGACCTGCTGACGCTCCATGTGCCCCAAGAGACTCTGTGAGTGGCGCATCCCCTCTGTCCGTTGTGGCTCCAAGTTCTTCACCTGGCCAAGGACAAAAAGGAGTCCGAAACGGCCGAAACCTCCACTGCTGAGTACGCGCTACACGTCTTGCTTCTGCAGAGTTCTGCGGCCTTGCACCGCAGGCGGTGGAGCTTGCCCTGGTTGATGGCCAGCAAGGTGGTGTCGTAGTCATCGGGTTCCATCGCTTCTTGGCTCTGTCCTGCAAGGAAGAAGACATGTAGACCATGCAACAAGGGACCCCTCTAGGCCGTTGGGTACCCTACCCAGCTTGCAGCAGCAGCGAGCAGACAGAGGAGAGACGAATTCAAAACATGCAGCTTACCCACACTTTGCCTCCATCGAAAAGGGCACTCGACAACCCTGCCTTGAGTGTCAAACTTCGACAGGCTACATTCATGCTGTACACGGACGAGTGCATCTTCCTGAGCATGGCTTCGAGCAGAGCTCTGCTTGTAGGGGGTAGCATGAGCCGTGCGGGGGGGATGGGGCAGGATGGGGGTCGTTCCTGCAGCAAGCATCACCCCACAAGCAAAGGCATGATGGTGAAACTCACCGGCTTGATGAGTAGCTGCTGTTTAGGGTGGACATTCTGAGCACCAGCTGCGAGGTTGCAACTTCCCCAGCCTAGCATCACTCCGGGAGGCGACACTGACACAACAGTCTAACTTTTGCCCGGGCGCCTCGTCCTCTTCCAACTCATTGGCGGTGCTCTCGATCTCTTGTGGAAGGCACCGGCCGAAACAATTGCAGCGGTCTATCACATAGACTCCTGCAAGGAAGAAGACACATGTTTCGTCTGGAAGCACGCAAGTTTTGGAAGCACGCACTCATCGTATCTGGTGAGCAGCAGGCCCGCCAGGACATTCCATGAGGAAGCACCACACGGCTCCAACCTTTCTGTGCTCACGCTAGACACACCACGTCAACCCCCAACCTCCATGGCCTTCTGGCAGGATGAACAGAGCACCCGCTATGTCGTCACTTCTACCACTTCAGCAAAAGCACTAGGAGTGAAGTAACAGAAGGATCGAACCGTGAACATCCTGCAAAGCCATCATCTTTGCAGGAGCAGCGGCCTCTGAGGTACTCGGGAGACTATTCAGGCCCCCATGGATGCATACAAATCTGTCTAAACCCTAAAACCCTGTGCCACATGAACTCTCGCTGCTTGCTCCTGCAGAGACGAGGAGGACGGTGAGCAAAGCAAAAGCGAAAGCCGCATGGACGCCACTCTGTGCACGGTCGTCCCATACATAAACCTGAGCTGCAGCATAACAGAAGGAAGTTGTAGCATTTGCCTGGTTTGTTGCACGCAGTCTTCGTGTTGTTTTGTCTTGGGTTTCGGAGCATTCCACGCCACTCCTTGTAGGTTTTACCTTTGGGCAGCCCCAGGACGATTGGTGGATTCACTAGCTCACTAGTTGATTGCTTTGCGTGAATGTTTGTGTCAAGAAGGTTTGCGTGGTCTTACATTTAACTTTTTGCTGATCGTGCTATTTGCCTTGGGTATCTCGAGGCTTGGTGCCAGCCTAGCAAAACTTGCGGGCGTGCGCGTGTGTGCGAGTGCATGTGAGTCTGAGTGAGAGTTTGAGAGTGTGAGTGTGTGAGTGTGCGAGCGTGTGAGTGTGTGACTGTGTGAGCGTGTGAGTGTGTGAATGTGTGACTGTGTGAGTGTGTGAGTGTGTGAGTGTGTGAGTCTATGAGTCTGTGAGTCTGTGAGCCTGGTGGGTGAGTGTGCGTGGGTGCATGGGTGGCTGTGTGGCTGGGTGGTTGGGCGGGTAGGTGGGTGGGTGGGCGCGTGTGCGCGTGTGCGCGGGCTCTCTCCCACCAAAGATTCAGGCCCTCAGCAATGCCCAACTCATGTTCACGTGACTTTCTGATCTGACAAAAAACTGAACTATGCATAAGCTGTTCAAAAGCATGGCAGATCGGCAGAGGGGCACACACTCTGCCACCGAATTCCGGCCAAAAGTTTTCAAAGCACTCGGCGCACGTGTCCTGCAATGAGGTGCCAAGGCTACGAGAAGTTGTGCCCTGGAACGCATGCTCTTGTGTATCTGTCGATAAAAAATAGTACAAATTATACCAATAAAAGAAGTAAGTACTATGATTATAGTCATGATTCTTGTTATCATTGTTATGATATTATTATTATGATTTGATCATTATTAGTATTGTTGTTTGTTATTGTTTGCTTTTATTATCAACATTATTATTACTATTATTATTATGATTATTATTATTATTATTATTACTATTATTATTCTTCTTCTTATTGCTTGTATAAGCCCCCAGCCGAGCCTGCGAAGCGCAACGCCGGCAGCCCACGACCGAGCAAGGCTCGCACTGCTTCGTGTGGTTGTTCCTCTGCTGGGCCGCGAGGTTGCTTATCATCATGTTTTCTCTTTGTATTATTCTTAGCATTGTTATAGTCATTGTTATCATCATTAGCTTCATTTTTAAGTTTTGTGTCAAGCCTGTGGGGTTCGGGCTCCTTGCGCCCGAGCAGGCCCCCTTGCCATGCCCCAAAACTAGAACCCTTACGTTCGAAAACCTCGAAAAGGGTACCCCCCCCTCTTTTGGGGAAACCCTGCTATTTGCCAGACATCCACAGAACTGGGCGGTGCTCCTCCGCCTCCACCCGTCTTCTACTACTGCTCTGAACCTCACATTCCTGCAGATTGGCAGGCATCCTGTCCTCCTGTCATGGTCTTTGCTTTGGACATGGGAGTCATGACAACATGACAACTGCGAGGAGGGCCTGCAAGCCGAGGGCTTGAGTCAAGCTGGCCACCCTTTGCATGCCAGACATGAGGCGGATATGCACGGTTGGCGTTGGCGCTGGAACAGCTTGTTGCAGAAGCGCACTCGAACACGCAGCCTTGCAAGGGAAATGGCTAGGGTTACATACAGGTTTCTTAGACCCAGCACCCAACAGCTCCTGCGAGCACAGCAACAAACTCATCTTCTTCCAGCCACGAAGGCTCGAACCGCCACTCAACGTAACCATACATAACCAATCCTGCAGTCCAACACTTAGCGGCTTCAGAGTGAGAGAGAGAACCAAGAGTCAGCTTTCAAGGCTACAGGGGGGGAGATGAAGTACTCAGCCCTGGTTCCCCATGAGGGACTGGTAAGCCAACCTGACTCCCACTCAAAGCCAGGTTGCTCAGGTACGGGTGCGGGGCCACGTAGGGGCAGCTGGCTGGACAGCTGTGCGAGAGCTCAGACAGGCCAGGGCAGTCCGTAGTCGCCTGCCGAGGCTTAGGCTCTGTTCAGGATCATGCTACAGGAAGAATTTTGGGGCCTTTGAGAATTCGAATAGGGTTTTGGGGGGGTATCATAATATAATTGTGATCGCCCTGATGCCATCGCCCTGCAGATTGAGCAGGCAAACCCTCCCCCCTGCTACGTACCAGAATGCTACTGGGTCAGCAGATACCTGGCACGTACCTGTCCCCACACACGGCCCTACGGAATTCCTTTTTTTGGAAAGGGATAGTAAGGGATAACAATCACACCATGCCATCAGCATAAGAGGATGTTCTGACCGTTGGTCATGAAGACAATCATGATCCTGACCATCCTTTTTCTGGCGCAAGCAAGTATGTATATGTATATGTATATGTTTATGTTTATGTGTATGTATATGTATATGTATATGTGTATATGTATGTGTATATATATATAAATATAAATATAGGTAGGCGGTGGCCGCCCCTAGTTTACGGCAGACGTGACATGAACGGCACAAGGGTAGCGCATAAGGCCTTGCCTTGGAGCACCACTTCTTCCTTAATGTGGAGCCGACCCTAAACTGGCTGCATTCCAAAAACCACCTGGGTATAGGGTTTAAGGTTTAGGGTTTAGGGTTTAGGGTTTAGGGTTTAGGGTTTAGGGTACGTTCCAAAAACCACCCTGTCAGATTCTTCTTTAGAGCTGGGCGTTGGCCTGCTCATGGCACCGCAGCGGCCCCGCTGAGGACGGCCGATCTACTACGCCACAAGGCACCGCGTCGCTTACTACCTGGGTTCGAGTCTCAGAATCTCAAAACGTTTGCAGAAATTTAGGGCGGCGCGAAGGGGATAATATCGTCCTTCCTTGCTGAAATCAAGTGCCGCTTTGGTGAATGAAAGTGTCTCGCAGGGTTCAGGGACCGGATCGGAAGGGTTGGGGCTACGCTCTTGGAGATGTATGGCGTGAGGGGCATGAGCACGACGTATCTGGAAGCATATGCCTTGCCATCGTCACATACTTGCTGCCTCTTGCAGCCAGCTGCAAATCCATGCTGACATGCGCGCGCTCATATTCTGAAGCTCGATTTGTTCAGGCTTTGTGCACATAACCGGCTACCTGGCTACTTGCCACCACGCAGCTGGGGGCAGCACCGGAACAGTTGTGTTGGCGGAGCTCAACACAGTCCTTATTCAAAAAAGTTCCAAGGCTTCTCAGCCGGCGGGCGTTGAACACGCGGTAACCTGCTCCTGCATTTGCTACCACCGTTGCCACTTAGGATATCGTGGCTGCAATTGCTGAATAAACAACCAAAACAGATCAAAGCCAGGAGTCAATTGCGACGCGAGAACGGAGACACGGGCGAAACTGCCCATCATGCAATGGCGAGCTGCAAATCATCAATCAAGCATATGTTGAAACCGGGCATAACATTGCACAAGAGTTGGCTAAGATGAAGCTAACAGGTGCATTTGCGCGTTGTCAGCAGGAATTGCTGCAGTGATGCTGTCACGATGCTACTCCGACATGCCGTGGCAGCACTGCTTTTTTGGCAGCACTGCTTTTTTGGCAGTTGCATACCCTCAATGTAGTTTACGGGACCCATTAGAAGATGAAACGGCTGCAGGCGGGTAAAACTTCAAAAAACTTCAAGACAGATGCATGGTGCCGCTGACACGCAGAGGATGATCTCTACATGGGCAACTGATCAGACTGATCAACCAAGGGTGCACGGTCAACTCCTTCTCGCTAGATATCCCCCGGCCTTTCCGAAAGCGTGCTACTGCTGTACAGGGCGACACTTCATCTGAAGATCTGAGCTTCTGAAGGTTCCCTACAAACAAAGAAGCGTGCTGGTTTTGCCTCAACACGGCAAAACTGAAGGCCTTCTGTTAGGCAGAACTCCTTCAGCCGCTCACGCTCGTGTCCCGTCAGATCCTCGACAAGGACACGCCACTCGCCCTGCGTCTCTGCCGCATTCTTGATGCGAGCCTGGAGCTTCAAGACCTTTTCAGGATCCGGCGCACCGTCTTCCGCTGTCTTCATGACACGGACGTAGCGATCAGGATCCACACCCTCAGATACAGTGAAGAGGCCCATGTCTTTGGCCACCTGATGCACCAATCTCCTTTGCCATGATGTCCCAGGAGGAAAACATTTGGAATGAGCATTGCATGTGGCAAAGTCGCGCACCTCGCACACCAATTCCTCATCCTCATCCTTGCACGTGGCCAGTACTGCCCGCAGCCTTGACTTGTCCTTGTCATCTCTGACAGGAGTGAAGTGCACCAACTGACCCTCTGCCAAGCAGATGCCTGCAGGGAAATCTTTTGCATCCGCACAGACATCTTTTGCATGCAGGAAGATCTCCTTCGTCTCCCCCCCCATCTTCATAGGAAACAAATCCGAACTTCTTGGAGGGATTCCAGGATTTGCAACTCCCGCGGACTCTCCTTGCTAAGATGGACCTATGTGCATCTTCCAGGGAGGAGTCCTGCAACGCCCTGGCTTCTCCTAAAACTGCGTCGGACTTCCTCTTGACACTTTTTGCCGTCCGTCGCCTCTTATCATCCACGCCGACGGTGAAGCACACCTCCTCTCCTTCTTCCAGGCCTCGCGGAGCTCCCGGTGCCCCCGGCACCTCGGGCAGCTCACTGAAGTGCACAAAGATAGGTTTGCTGCCATCCTCGGGGCCAATCCGCCCAAATCCTCGCGCGGAGTCCCACTCAACACACCTGCCCCGCAGTTGGCTGCCAACTCTTGCTGGGAAGCATTCCAGCACTGCCGGGGCTCCGAGATGCTTCTTGCACTGCTCCTCCGCATCACTCCAGGCTCGCACAGATTTGGTGAGGAAGTGCCGGAACCCTTCAAGCTCTTCGGGCGCCACCGTGACCTCACTGAACTGGGGCCCAACTTCCGAGTCACTCTCGCCGTGGCCCCGGATCTCTTCGAAGAGCCTCGTGCCCTCGGGGTCTTCGCGCAGCTCCAGCTTCGGATGCTTGCCACTGCGGTTTCGCCTCTGGATGGCTTCGATGTTGTGATTGACATTGACTTGAACACCCTCGTACCGACCCATGGTCTGTTCCACAAAGTCCTCGATGGAGACATCCGGCTCGCGCTGCGAAGGCTTGGGGTGGGCTGAGAAGTGGATGACACGAACATCTTCGAAGCTAATCTGGCGACGCTCACACTCCTTCTGGCTGTCGGGCAGCCGCAATGCGAGATGATGCAACTGGAAGTTCCATGAGACATCGATGTGCGTCCAATGGGGCTCTTGCCAGAAAAACCTGGTGAGGTAGTCCTGCTCGGGTGAAGGCGTCACGATGTGCTCAGGATGCTCTTCGCACTCCACCTCGCGCCTCATGTTCTCAAAATCTGCACGATCCGGCTTCAGGAGTATCACACCCGCATTGACCTGAGCGGCGTCTTAGCTTCAAAGTGGCACAGCAAGCACCTTTGGAGTTGCTGAAGGGTAAGGCGTCTTGGAGGCAGCCTGTGGCTCACCGCAGGTCCCGAAGTATGCGGCAAGAGGAGCACACGACTACGAATACGATAGATGCTCGAGTTACTGGTATCGCATGTGCTCCGCATCGGTCAACGAACCTGGAGCAAGTAGGCTTGCTGCAAGCCCCACGCACGCGCGAAAGGGCCCTCCTCCCCTCCCCCCACCCCCAAGTCCCACAAGTCAGGGTATTTGCATTGTGAAGAAGCCAGGATAAGCCACACTCTGTGGATGAAGGAAATCTTGCACCAACAATGCAAATCCGCCGAGGCCTCGGGCCGGAGGTGGAAAGGTTGTCAGAACAGGCACTCGGACCCCTTTTTTGCCTCAAATGGGTACCCCCCCTAGAAAACCGGGGTCAACACGGCCCACCCCCCCTACCCCCCAACCCCCCCCCCGCCCCCTACCCCCCCACCCCCCCACCCCCCACCCCTCCCCCCTGCCTCTCCAGAAAATTTTGTGAGCGGGTTTTCGAGGCTGAACTGGTGAGCACGGCCCAACATGCATTACACAAGCCGAAGAGTCTAAGCTTGAACCTAAACCCTAAACCTTACACCTTAAACCTTAAGCCCGAAGCACTCAACCCTCAAACCTTCAACAAACCCCCCCCCCCCACCCCCCCCCCCCCCTTCCCCCCCTCCCCCCCCGCCCCCATTCCCCCCCCACCCCCCCTACCCTCCCTGAGGGGCCTGGCTCAACCCTACCATCAATCCAAGCTGAACCGTCTCTTGAACCCTAAACCCAAAAAAAACCTAAACCCCAAAGCGTGAACCTTGAGCCCTAAGCCCTCAATCCTAAACTAACCCTCAACCCTAAACCCCAAACCATAAACCATAAACCCGGAACCCTAAACCCTAAACCCAACCCTTATTGCTTGGGGTCCAGCGACTTGGGCGCTGCGGAATCACCATGGTCACGCGGATGCGCTGGGCCGGGCCGAGGCGGGTCGCGTAGCGTTAAAATTAGTCCTACTGCGCCGCCACACCCTCCTTTGTATCAGCACGGTGGGGTGTCATGTTGAGACGGTGCAAGGCTTGTGTGTGGTTGGACCAAGTCTGAAAACACACGCAAAGCATCGCAAGATTTCCTCCATCGATTGTTTAAGGCCCGGACACAGCCACTCTTGCCCCATGGCTCCACAGCGTCATAGCCCTTCCAAGGAGGTGGTGCGTCAATGAGCTTCCCATGGACTTGTCCACCGGCTGCCCACATTGCAGCCGGCGGGCGCAACTCAAACAAGCTGTCAACATTGGCCTGAAGTAGCAAGTCCAAGTCCAGCAAGATGACTCGCTCGTACTCCACAAGCGCCCAGGCATGAAGTTTCGTGAAAACCCCTCGGAACCGGCTGCGTTGTGTGAACAGGCTGCTTGCAGCATCGATTCTATCTACGCACCGGAGCCGCCATAAGCCAGCAAGAACCTCCAAGTATTCTTGACGGACATCCCCAGTGTGAAGGAGTACGAGGTCGTGCGGGGTACCTGATCGCTTCAGGGACCAGCCCAAGACCCGTGCGTCACGAACATACTCCACAGAGTTGCCATAGAGAAGGCTCACATAGGCAAACTTCGGGACTTCCTTTGCCATGCAAGTCCCGAGGCGCGGCTGCAGCCAAGTGCCCACTGAGGGCCGGTGCCGAAATGAGACATCACCACCTGGCCCGTCTCTGCCAGCCTCTGCGGAAATTTTGGCAAAGCAAACTGGCCTCCGGCAGTTCGGGCACAGGCTGCTGTAGCAGCCTCGCGCTCCAACCTCGCCCTTGCACGTGTACATCTTTGCACTCGTTAGGGGCGAGGTCACTGTCAGAATCTCCGCCTCCGAGCCACAGCTGAGTGCCATGGTCAGAGGCCGCCTGCAAATGGGACAAGGAGATTGGTAGATTCCGCTGCAGGGGGGATCTTCTGGAGGGTGGTAGATTTTGGCAGAGCTCAGCTTTGAGCTCACACGCAATCCTCTCGGGCGTGCGTTGTCGAGCTTCCGTCGCCAGCCACGTGTCTTGATTGCGCGTGTGTCGGCTGCCCAGGAGGATTCTTCATCCTTCGCTGCCGCTGGGGCGCGGTGCCGCGCCACCACGCGAAACGCAGACACGGAACAATCTCCACTCTGCTGGGCGGGGTAAGCAGCAAGCAACGTGTGGCGGACAAAGCCGCCACTTTTGGACTGCCATTCAATTATCACGGAATCCGAAGACAACGCCTTGTCGTCCGGCCACCATGTGCCCAATTCAGAACTGAAGGATGTGCGAAGAAATCGCTGGCCGTCCAGTTCGTCCAGCGTTATGCTGCCATTCGGCTTCTGCCCGTCGTGTGCCCAGTGCCAATCCCCAAGCCATGAGCATGCCGCCATTTCGGCTTGAATCAGCCAAAAAGCAACCGCTGCTTGAGGCGACTTGCACTGTGGGAGTCTGAAATTGCCTGGAAACATGCGTGGCGCATGTCATGCATGTCATGCTCGTCACGCTGCCTCCTTGCCCCACTACCCAGCTCCATCAGAAGTGTCTTTTAGAGTACCGCCTGCCACATGTTTCAAAGACTGCTCAACTGGCCATCGACGCCCAAGCCCTGCAGAAGTGCTTCGGTGGAGCAGGGCCTGCTTTGCAGGCCACTGACATGATCGAAGGCCACCGTTGAGCACGGAAAATCAGCCTGAGGCCACGGAACATACGATGAGACACTCATAATCATGTATGAATTCGGTGCCATTCGGTGCCATTCGGTGCCATTCGGTGCCATTCGGTGCTGGCTTCATGCAGCCGGGTGCATGCTTCAACCGTATTCCAGGCACCACTTGGATCTGCTTGGTGTCCTAGCTGCTTTGAGAAGGTCACCAGGGATTTCTGGCAGATCAGGACGCGGCACACCCACCACTACACAACTTTTCACGCTCACGCAACTCACGCGGTGGCGGGTTAAAGGGAAGTCTGTCCCGAACTGGGAGGTCCACCACGAATGGCATGCCGTAGAACTGATTCCACGTGCCGGTGCATGCGACCTGCACTCCCAACACTCCTTCTGCGAGCTCAGCTACCTTTTGGCTGAGCTTCATGTTGTCGGGATTGTGGGAGTGGCCGCAGACGTACAGCTGCGGGCGGACTCTCGAAATCAAGTCGTTGATGCACCCGGGGAACGTCTTCCCAGAAGCACCATAAAGCGCCCCGCAAGGTGGCCCATGGGTGATCATGACATCTACCGACCCTGCTGAAAGGCGAGCCGTCTCTTCACGAAACTGCGTCTCGCCTGTGTCAATGTCCAACTGGAAAGAAGCATTTCCCGAGAGAATCGCACGGCCCCCCTTCAGCTGCGAGGCCGCTGAGACTCCCGAACCTTGGACTCACTCCCAGTCAACGGCTGCACAGGCTAGATTGCGTTATCCGACAAAACAACAATCAAATCACACGGGTTCACACATGCGCTGCCTGCATCTCCCTGCCCAAATCACACCGACATCCCATCCTAGCCTACTGCGACCGCTTAGGTTGCCGGGTCACCCCAGACTTTCACCCTGCATCCATTCCGGAAGCTCAACTCCTCTGGACCCGACGCTGTGGAAAGGTACTGCACATTGAACTCCTGGCAAAGCTTCCTTGCGTTCGCATCCCCAAGCTGCTCCAGCACGTAATCATGGTTTCCACCCACAAGGACACGATGCTCGAAACATGATGTGGCACCAAGCCATCGCAGAGCCCGAGCAGCATCTAAGTCAGATGACTTGAACCAGTGAAGAAACTTCGGGAAGTCGCCTTGAAGCTCATTCCATTGCTTGTCAAAGTCACGCCCATCTTTGGAGCGCGACTCTTCATAGCTCAGGTCTCCTGCATGCACCAACAGATCACCGTCTGGGATCTCCAACTCGTCGTGAAGCAGATGGGTGTCACTGATCGCCACGACCCGCACATGCGGGGTGCCAGGACGGGGAAGCTCATGTTTCGTCGTTATCTCGTCGTGGGCGCTCGCCGCCAACTGTTTGAGATAGCAAAGAGGGGCTCCCGTCGTCTGCGCGCGCCATTTGCCGGCGAGCGTGGCATGATAGTACTCGATCCCAGCACGCCGAAGCCTGGAACTGGCATCAAAGGCAACGCCTATGTTTGGCCAATCATTCTTCGCATCCTGCGGGCATTCCTGCCCTGTAATGATGGAGTACCATACCTCTGGGGCATACAAGGCCATCTTCGCGAGGAAATCCAAAGCATCCTTGCTCATCTTACTTGCAAAAACATGTGTGCATCCACAGTAGGTCTCTGCACTTGCAAAGCGACAGAAAAACAACCTTCCGCATGGGCAACTGAGCTGACGGCAGATGCATCTGTTTCTGCACGAGGCTGGCAGGGTGCCACTTGGGGCGACATCTCCCCAAGGCTCCAAAAATGGCGGAACTTGTCCACGTTGAATCCAGTGGACTCCGAACCTAACCAACACAGCCGCTTCCAACACATGCGTGCGGCTCTCTGTTTATCTATTCTTGAGAGGGCCTAGCATCGACATTATCTGCCAATCGCAGTCGAAAGGCAACCCTTTTCTCTGAACACCTCCCGCAATCCCGCCACCGCAGACTCTCCAAAGGCTTCTTGGAATTTGTACAGCACTTGCGCGCCCCGAGCGGGGAGGTCCACCACGAATGGCATGCCGCAGAACTGATTCCACGTGCCGGTGCATGCGACCTGCACTCCCAACACTCCTTCTGCGAGCTCAGCTACCTTTTGGCTGAGCTTCATGTTGTCGGGATTGTGGGAGTGGCCGCAGACGTACAGCTGCGGGCGGACTCTCGAAATCAAGTCGTTGATGCACCCGGGGAACGTCTTCCCAGAAGCACCATAAAGCGCCCCGCAAGGTGGCCCATGGGTGATCATGACATCTACCGACCCTGCTGAAAGGCGAGCCGTCTCTTCACGAAACTGCGTCTCGCCTGTGTCAATGTCCAACTGGAAAGAAGCATTTCCCGAGAGAATCGCACGGCCCCCCTTCAGCTGCGAGGCCGCTGAGACTCCCGAACCTTGGACTCACTCCCAGTCAACGGCTGCACAGGCTAGATTGCGTTATCCGACAAAACAACAATCAAATCACACGGGTTCACACATGCGCTGCCTGCATCTCCCTGCCCAAATCACACCGACATCCCATCCTAGCCTACTGCGACCGCTTAGGTTGCCGGGTCACCCCAGACTTTCACCCTGCATCCATTCCGGAAGCTCAACTCCTCTGGACCCGACGCTGTGGAAAGGTACTGCACATTGAACTCCTGGCAAAGCTTCCTTGCGTTCGCATCCCCAAGCTGCTCCAGCACGTAATCATGGTTTCCACCCACAAGGACACGATGCTCGAAACATGATGTGGCACCAAGCCATCGCAGAGCCCGAGCAGCATCTAAGTCAGATGACTTGAACCAGTGAAGAAACTTCGGGAAGTCGCCTTGAAGCTCATTCCATTGCTTGTCAAAGTCACGCCCATCTTTGGAGCGCGACTCTTCATAGCTCAGGTCTCCTGCATGCACCAACAGATCACCGTCTGGGATCTCCAACTCGTCGTGAAGCAGATGGGTGTCACTGATCGCCACGACCCGCACATGCGGGGTGCCAGGACGGGGAAGCTCATGTTTCGTCGTTATCTCGTCGTGGGCGCTCGCCGCCAACTGTTTGAGATAGCAAAGAGGGGCTCCCGTCGTCTGCGCGCGCCATTTGCCGGCGAGCGTGGCATGATAGTACTCGATCCCAGCACGCCGAAGCCTGGAACTGGCATCAAAGGCAACGCCTATGTTTGGCCAATCATTCTTCGCATCCTGCGGGCATTCCTGCCCTGTAATGATGGAGTACCATACCTCTGGGGCATACAAGGCCATCTTCGCGAGGAAATCCAAAGCATCCTTGCTCATCTTACTTGCAAAAACACGTGTGCATCCACAGTAGGTTTCTGCACTTGCAAAGCGACAGAAAAACAACCTACCGCATGGGCAACTGAGCTGACGGCAGATGCATCTGTTTCTGCACGAGGCTGGCAGGGTGCCACTTGGGGCGACATCTCCCCAAGGCTCCAAAAGTGGCTGAACTTGTCCACGTTGAATCCAGCGGACTCCGAACCTACTGTAACCAACACCGCTTTCAACACATGCGTGCGGCTCTCTGCTTACTTGCGCCTGCGTCTACAGTGTCTACCAAATCGCAGTCGAAAGGCAAGCCTTTTCTCTGAACACCTCCCGCAATCCCGCCACCGCAGACTCTCCAAAGGCTTCGTGGAAGGATTGCAGCGTGTGTTTCGAAGCCATGGCGCCGGGTGGCCTCAGCCCTGCAACAGCATCACGTCACGCCGGGGATCAGCGATTATTGTCAAGGCGGTACTACTTTGCGGCAACCGTGACGAGAAGTCAATGGCCGAAATTGGCTTGCAAATGGGATCCACGGGCCTCTGCGAGGACCTCGCTGACGTCGGGCGCGCGCCCGTCGACGTTGTCGGTGGAGGCGACGGGCAGCGCGAGGAGGGTGGCCGCGAATGCCCGGGTTGAGGAAACGGCGAGCAGCGCGGACCAGCGGGCAACGAAGGCGCTGGTGGCATGGGCCCGGAGTGCTGCCGGAACCGCCCGAGCCCGACATCGAGCGAGCAAACGCACCAAGCGGGCTGCTTCGGGGCTCCAGCGGACGAGCCGACAGCGAGCCGACCGGACGAGCTCGGGGTAAGTGCGCTCTTTGGACAGGCGCGCAAGTCGGAGCGCCGCGCCCTCCTCGCGGCGCTGGTCGCGGCGCGGTCGGCCGCTTGAGTCGACGGCAAACACGAGCGTTGTATCGACCGCGAGCTGCGTCTCGTTCCCCAGCGGCAGACCGTTGGCGATGACCTCAATACGACGCTCATATACGCTCATCGTTGCGGGAGCCGCTGTTGGTGAGGTTGAGGTCCCGGAGCAGCGCGTGGGTGACAACGCGAGCCCCGGCCTCGCGGCAAACCCGAACAGCTGCGCGCTCTAGCGGACACCCGCGGCTGCGCAATATACAGCCCGGATCGCGGACACGCCGCCCTGTGATCCCCAACCTGGTCCAGCCGTCTGCGGCACCGACAGTGGGCGGCGTCGAGCGGGAGGGGCAAGCGCAGCCTGGGAAGAGGAGGAGGAGGAGGAGGAGGAGGAGGAGGACCCGGAACGAGACGGAGTCCAGCACGAACTCCGGGCTGTGGGCATAGCCGTGAAGACCCGGGACGCGAACGGCCCGGCTTGCGACTGCAGCAGGGCGCGGGAGCCCGGGTCGCTAGCCCCGGTGTGGCGCCGTGCGGCCTGGTCGACTGCTTGGGCGGTGCGCGTTGCCATCCGCGGGTGAGGTCGGCCGCTGGGTCCTCCAGGGGCTCTGCAGGGGCTCTGCCAGCGGGGGCCCGGCCACGCCCAGGGCGGTGCCTCAAACCACTCAAGCTCCGCGCAGGCAGAAGGACCGGCACGCGCTTGGGCGTCGGGTGCTTGGCACTGCGAGAGCCGATCGTATTATTATTAGGGCGTCCATTATATTCTCTTCGTACGCCATTAATACGCTCACTAGACGCCCTAAAAAAATATTATATTAAGGTGTAACCGCTGGTGTCGTTCACTTCGTTCTCTATTATTCTTGTTATCCCGTGCATTATTAGTATATTATTATCGCACGGGGGAATTATAGTATACGTACGGACTAATATGAATACTAATAAAAAGCGAAGTAATGAGCGCCCGTATTATAATTATGTTCATTTCGTACATTCTTTTTATCTCTTCGTAATAATACAAGGTGAAGAGAGTGTGTGAATAAGAGAATGAATGAGCCTGCGAATGAATGAACGCAGTGAGCACATGAACGAAACAACCTCTGTCTCTAGGAGTCAATCTGTTGAGTCGTGAAGGTAACAGCCAGGATGGGAGAATAAGGGTAAAAAGAGCAAAATAAAAAGTCCTTTAAAGGGGCCCTTTTCATCTCCCTCATTCGTGCGTTACGTTCACACACTATTAACACTATTCATGCACCAATTTATAAGTATTAATATTGTGCTCTCTTCACTCTTTCTATTCTCACGGGCGTATAAATATAATGCAAAGGTAAGGCTAGAACGCACGCTTTGCATTAAAGGTATTGCAAGACATAGGTGGTAGACTTCCGGAAACATACTGCGCCACCTATTTTTGTTAGGGTCCCCCACCCTTCCCCAAATAGTCGCCCCACCTATTCTAAATAAGTGCCGCGGGGGGCACCCCCCCCCCCCATCCACCTATTATTAGGAGGGAGCGGGGCATGCGCTGCCTCCTCCGAAGCAGCCCACCCCCCAGCAGTCCCGAGCCGCCTGCCTCTCCGCACCTGCAGGGCCCTGGACCCCCGTCCTCCCCGCCCCTCATGTTGGAGAATGCAGCGAAATGGCTTGGGGCTCGACACGCATCCTTGGCGAACGCCAGTGCGCAAAGTCCAGGGCTGACAACACTAACCAATACCACACGTGACAAATGGTGTATTGAAGCTGTTGTGGTTGTTGTAGAAGGTAAACAGAAAGGGAGGAGTCCTCAAAAGATCCTGTGTTACAATAGCATGCCTCAGCGCAACGGCAGGCGAATCGGCCCGTCCGGTTCACCAAGAGCGCGGACGGCAGCCATGGTCGCCAGGCGGCAGGCTGTCTTGCGCCGGCCCCGCTACCGCCCTTGCCCTGTGCGATCCTGCGCGCCCAGGCGACGCTGGCAGCCTCGCGCAGGGGTGCCGGGGCGCGGCTGGCCCGCAAGCGGACCAGGCGTCGCACCACTAACGCAGCCTTGGCGTTCCAGCGCCCCCAACCTTGCAACCAAGCACGCAGAGCTGTTGCGCCCCCCCCCGTGCGGGACCGCGGTAGGTGGCTCCTTTGCGCCGCTCGGCCGTCCGCAGGGGCCCAGCGCGGTCTGCGGCTGCACAGTGGTCGTTTCATAACATTGATGATGGCGGCGAGTTCGGCTCGGTTATAGTTGAATAAGAGACCCTCAATCGCAAGATGATTTTTTTGTTATTCGCACGCCTTTTTCTGCAGCATGTCCTCGCGGGTTGGGGGTCGGGGGGGGGGGGGGACTGGCCTCACCTCCACGGAGGCACGCGGCTGGCGGCCGGGGAGAGGTCCCACCGGGCATCAGGCAGGACCTCGTGCAACTTAGGCACGGCGTCATCGCTATTGCTCTCGCCAGCTAAAGGGGGGCTCGAGCAAAAAGGAGGCGAATGCACACTGGGCCGCTACAGCCACGACCGCCGCCCATCGTGTCGCCACCCAGGCGGCCTGAGCCGCTGGTCGGGGGTGCGCTGGGATTTTTTTCTTCTCGCTGTTCAGCCCAGGTCCGTGGTCTCGGGCCTAGTCCCCGTCTACCGGCAACAAGGGACAAAGGAGCAGAAAAGGCAACGCTTTCAGCGGGCCACTAAGCCAACAGCTCAGCAACCAGCACATTGCCTTCCTGTTTTTAGGGGCTCCCGGCAGCTGGTGTCCCGGGACTCCAACATGCCCAACCACACAACCACAGGCCAGACTGAGATTGGTGGAGGCTGAGGAGCCACGGAAGCACAGACGAGCTTCCCTTCTTTTATGAGAAAAAGAGAGAGAGAGAGAGAGAGAAAGAGAGAGAGGCAACCCTCAGCAAGGAGATGAGAAGCAACCTCCCCCGCCCCCTCAAAGGGAAAACAAATACTAAAAAGTAGCAGCCAAGGCACAATGCACGGATTTGCTTAGGATGGGATGGGACGTATCAAGGCCAAGGAACAGCGCACGGATTTGCTTAGGGTTGATTACGAGGCCTCAAAAAAAAAAAAGAAATGAAGAGAGAGAAACGACGGTCCATTAGCAACAGCTTGGGGGCCGGTCACGGAGACAAACAAAACTCAGCGGTTTTGCTTTTAGGACCAGCCAACAGGCAGCAAAACAGCAAGTAATCTCAATCCATCGATCAAGAAAAAGGAGGGCAGCCAAGGTACCACGCACAGTTTTGCTTGTAGGACCAGAGACAGCAGCAAAAGGAAGTGCTCGGTTTTGCTTTTAGGACTAGTTGAGGAAGCATCAACACAAGCAACAGGAATCCGAAGACTTGACTGATGCTCACCTATCAGAGGATCTTTTAGCTTGCGCCGCGGCATTTGGATCTGGCGAGTTTTCCAGCAGCTTCTACCCAGGGAAGAACATCCACTGCTCTTGCCAGGTTGCTGCCCAGTGTGAGCCTGGTCTTCTGACAAGCACCGCTGAGCAAGGTCTCAAGCAGAACTAGTGCTCGCGGGCATGACAGAAACAGATGCTCAGTAGTCTCGAGATCATCACGGTTGCAAAAGGAGCAGGGTACGCTGGGACCGCCAGAGCCATCGAAATTGGACAGGTGTCCTTGAAGCTTCAATTGTGCCCAAGCTTGTGCATCAGCAATTGAAATACCCCACGGGGCTAGGTCTGCAACCGTCCACGAGCCACTGGAGTAGAGACTCCAGTATTGCAAGATCTTCGGCGAATTGTACCAAGCAGTCAACTCAAGCGCACGGAGGGCCGGCAGCACCACTGTTTGGGCATGGTAGTGTAGTTTGGCCTTGAGCTGGTTGGTGGGGAGGCCTTCGCAACCTGGCGGCATGAGAGGGAGGTGAAGATCACATTCTTTCTGGTGGACCACAGATGCCCATGAGCACGTAGAGGACTCAGCCAACCTGAAGATCTCTTCTTCTTGGGCATACCTGGGGTCAAGGCGAGCTCGCCGTCGGAGCATCAGGGCTCGGGCCCACGCAATGACCGAAAGGCGATCCCGGATCCCTAGCTCCAGCATCATAACCACACGAGGAACTGTAAGGCAGCCCAAGGCCGCCCGCATCCATTTGGCCTGTAAACCATTCAAGTGCTTCTCGGCATACGGTATCTGGATCACAAGCTCAATTCCAAACGTCACCGCCGGAGTCAGTCTGGTCCGCATGCTGGACAGCAAGGCTTGCATAGGCATGCCGAGATTCACAAGCTCGGCAATGAGGCATTTCATTCTGCCAGGTCCACGGGCCATGATGAGCTGAAGATGGGCAGCACCATCAAATCTGGTGTCAAGGGAGATGCCCAGTTGCACAGCATCCGTCACATAATGCACCGCAGATCCTTGCAAATTAATGGGGGCCCTCTGGGAAAAGCCAGAAGCCACAACGGAGCACTTGCTTGGCTTGTACATGTACTGCTCCAGGGCAGCAACATTCTGCAGGACATTGAGGGCACAGGAGGCATGACCGTGCGAGGCCACAGGAATCCTTGTGTCGTCCATGAATGAACGAACCGACCTCCTGACAGGGGAAGCCAGGTCTAAAA